AGGGAGCCCGATGCGGGACTCGATCCCAGGACCCTGGGATCATGACCTGAGCCGAAGGCAGTCGCCCAACCAACTGAGCCACCCAGGCGCCCAAAAGCAGAAAGCTTTTATTGTGTTTAGTTAATATGTAGTATAGCATAATGACCCTCCTTCCAGGAATAGTTTTGTCTCAGTAACTCTTCTCTTAAACAGGTCATAAAGATTCTCCCTCACCCCCCACTCCCAAGAAATGGTGCAGACACCAACTTCCTACTGAAGTAACAGTAATTAGAATAGAATCAGAGACTGAACCCCTCACTATACACAAGAGAACCTGGGTTTCTGTTTACCCAAATTCATACAACTTGACTGAACAGAAGCCAGGGTTCTTTGTACCATGGCAGTGTACAAGTCTCCCCAGAAGCCTGCTACTTTCAAAACTCTATTAGCATATATGTCTTCTTTTAATAGCCAGGAGATGCCTTTAGTACCCCGATTGATCTTTATGAGACATTCTTTTCTCTTGGGTGGAGTTTTTATCTAATCGGCATACTTCTCAAGCCTTTGGCAGATCTCTTCTACCTTTCCAGCTGATTTTATTAATAGCCATTAATATTTATGGCTGCCATCCCCGGTGGAGGTGGGGGGGGTATCTCGTGGAACTTTGATCACACCAAGTCTGGTTCCCTGGAAATGCCTGCTGGTTTTACTCTTTCCTCTCCTTCGCCTCCTCTTCTACACCAGACCAGGTCTCACCAGCATTCCTTCATTTGGTTCTCCTGTTTCTTCTGATATCTTCTCTTCCTGCCCATCTGTCATGCCCTAGCACCCCAAATCCATTATATACGTTCTTAGACTAATTTGAATCCTATTACACTTGTTTTTCTCAAGATGCTATAATGCATCTCTATCACCCAGAAGTTAAAGATAGAATTTCCACCTCTCTCAGTTGTTCCTTCCAGAATCTAGGCAGCAAGTCTAGAAAATTTCTTCTCCGTCATCTCTTTTATTGCTTCCCTGTAGATAATCTTCCTTTTTACCTCTGAATACAGTTAAGGTGGCTGCCTATTTTTTGACTCATGGCCTTAAAACTGTCCCTCGATTGGGATCCCTGGGTGGCTCAGTTAAGTGACTGACTTCGGCTCAGGTCATGGGATCAAGCCTCGGGCTTCCTGCTCAGCAGGGAGTTTGCTTCTCCCTCTCCCTCTGCCCCTCATGCCACTCGTGCATGCACTCTCCCCCGCCCGCCAATGAATAAATAATATCTTTTAAAAAAAAAACAAAACTGTCCCTGGATTAAAACCAGATGAACAAAAGCCTTCACCCTTCACTAGTTCCCACCAGGGCTTTGCTGTTATCATAGATATCTGTAATGATGACATTCCTTAACATTTCTGTAAGAAAAATCAAGATGCTACATTGGGAGTAATGAGATTTCTCAACAATTGAGTTTACTTTTAGAACAGTTCATATGACTAAAAAGATTTTAAAAGTTTTGTGGCCCATCTCCAGCAAATATATGTAACTTTCGAGCAGGCAGTTGGAGACTCATCTCATCTATGGAGTATCCTGCTTTCCTGTCCTTGTTTAGCCAATCCTCAAGAATAAACGATTCTTGAAGCTCCCTTAGCACGGTCTTGTCAACTAACTTTTGTATTATTGCCCCCTGCCCCATGAAATGCCAATATCTTGTCCCTATTGAGAATGTATGTCTTAGCAAAATTAAGACCTACAAGAATTTTCAAAATGTACATAACTCAGTATTAAAGGTGAATAGCAATAAAAATACAAGAAACAATGATCCAGTTTTTAAAGGACGGGTTTCTGAGCCTCCTGCGTGCAGACTTACCTAGTTCTTAGGTTCTCACCATCTTTCCCTTTCCCTAGTAGGCTTCCCAGTCGTATGCCTTCCAAGAGAAACGCTGGTTTGTCAGTTGGGTAAGCTGATAATCGTTGATGACGATCCCTGGGTCCTGTGTGGCAATCCTCCCACTTCCTGGGGTATCCAGTATACCACCACTTCTCTGGGCCTTCCCCATACTTCACCCCCAAGAGCAAAGTGATTTCTTCACAAACAATAAAAGTGTCTGGTTTCTCTAGGAATTCAGAGTTTCTGCAAGGACCTGGTCGAAGTGGCAGACATTTTGGAGAAGACTAGAGAGTACATTTCTGAAGAAACAGAGCCTGGGGACCAGAAGCTCACTTTGGAGAAGATCTTCCGAGGCTTGTCACTTTTAGAAGCAAAGCTGAAAAGTGTGTTTGCCAAACATGGCCTGGAGAAGATGACACCCATCGGTGACAAATATGACCCTCATGAGCATGAACTCCTCTGTCACGTGCCAGCTCGTGTTGGGGTGCAGCCTGGCACCGTGGCGTTAGTAAGGCAAGATGGCTACAAGCTTCATGGCCGCACCATTAGACTTGCCCGGGTGGAAGTGGCAGTGGAGTCTCAGAGAAGACTATGAATGGGCCATGAGGAACCGAATGTTCTCCCAGGGTACAGTCACCTGTGTTTCCTTTATTTATTAAACTAGGTTTGTATTGTACATGAGGTACTTCATGTGATCTGTTTTGGATTTAGTCATATTGGCTTTATTTCTAAGATACTCTACTGATTTAATGTGACCTATTTGGTCTCATCAGAAGTCTTGCCATTGGGCATTTGAACAATGTGACAAGTGATCCTATGGCCTTTGTCCAAATATGTTTAAGAAAATTATTTTAAAATTGGTACTCTGATGACTATCAATTGAAAATCTTTTTAAAATGTGGAAATGAGTATATGCTTATGTATTTTCAACTGAATGTTTCTTTCTAATGGTCCCTATAACAGGAATTATATAGGATCTTGTATTTCATGGGAAAAGGAGATGGTAGGGATTGGTTCAACATCTGGGTGCTTAGATGATAAAGCTTTAGAGTTACATGAATTTAGATCATTTGGGTTGGTTTTTATACACATAGATTTTTAGGATTTCCCCTTTTTATTTTATTTTCCTTTTAGCCATCTTTTGTCCTTGTAGTCCCCACCAGGTAGGCCATATGCACACTCATTGTCCCTTTCCAATTCCCATTTACAAGGGCTAATTAAGGCCCAGACAAGACTTGGGAGCCAGAGCAGCATAATAGAGCTTAGGCTCTGTAGGCATAGAAATGAAGTATCAAGAAATTCAAGATACCAGGTTCCTTTCTAGCGAGTATGATCAAGAATCCGTGTGCTTTCTTTGCTGAGTTACCTTCCAGTAATTTTCGGCCTCCCTAGGTATATAATTATTTCAGGGAAACCAAGGCAGCACCAATAGCTAATGACCCAAATCAGTCTATGTAGGTAATTTACCTACAGCTTTTCTCTCCACTAGTCCTTAAATTTTCCACTTTGTCAGATTTGCCTCATCATCCTTTATTAGATTATGCAGGGAGGTGGTCAGGACAAAAATGTTAGGTTTCTACGATTTCTCATTTCATTTAGTTATGCTGAATTTTTTTATTTGGTACTCACAAATCACTACCTCTCTCACACTGATAAGCTTTATTTTCTAGTTTTCGTATCTTTCTTATATTACGTTTATTAACATCTAGCTGTCCTTTATGTATTGACCTCCTAGAATTAATGAGCCTATATGTTTTTTACTTTTTTTAGCCTTGCTTATGGCTGGTGTTCTGTAAAAGATTTGTTCAATAAATGAGCAAGTGAATGACCTATCAATCAGACTTTAGAAAGGAGGTCAATTATGGAGATTTTAATGTTAGAAGAGGCCTTAATGATGATCTCATCTCACCCTTTCAGCTTCTTAAGCATGAAAACGTCTTTTTGGGACTGGACTCAAAAAATGTCTAAAACTAGTAAACTAAATTTCAGTGAGAACTTGAATAAGGAACAACTAGATATTAACTTTAATCATTTAAGATCCAGCAGTTCTATAATGAACATGCAAATATGTCCCCAGTGGACAAAGATTGTTAGATGTCCAGATTGCATAGGTTCAGGCTTTTTAAGTTAGTTATCCATAACGTAAATCCATTTCTACTGGAACTTTATGACCCCATCCTGTGGAGTATTAAAAGTTATCCTCTTAGACATCATAGATAGTTCTAGCAGACTCCTCATATGTATCAATAAAGCCATCCCCCAGTGGGCCCTGCCATCTCCACCAGAATTAGATACTTAAAAAAAACAAATGAGTGCTCTTAAGAAGCAAACAAAAGACTGGTGGTAAGATTTTAAAACCAGAACCTCTTTGGGCTTTCCACTAAGTGCATACTGTAAATTTAATGAGCAGTTGGATTTCACAATAGGAATTTGTCTTTTTTTTTTTGCCTTCATTCCTTTGAGATTGACAGATGGTGGCAACAAGAAAAGGAGCCAATTGCAATTACCTATGTGTTCTTGAATTACTAGCTGTCATTATCAGTGAATTAGAACAACCATCATTTTAGGTATGGAATGTTCCAAGTACTTGAAGAGTTTTCTAATACTCCTTGCAAACTCCTGTTTTAGCAAGTAGATTGAGAATAACTTTAAGCTCTTTTATTATTCAGTAGTTATGCAGACTTAAAAGTGTAAATTTAGAAGATGGAGCTACAGTGGTAAGAATCCCAAAAACTTGGGCTTTTGGGAGCCAGAGCAGCATATTAGAGCTTAGGCTCTGGAGGCATAGACTTGAACATAAATCCCAGCCCAGTCACCTGTGTGATCTTGGGCCCCAGTCATTTCACCCTTCTGAGCCTGCTTCCTTGTTTGTACAATGATTATAATTCCCTCACAGTATTGTGAGGATTAAATGAAATGTGTAAATTGTCTACTGCAGTAGGCCCTCAAATATTTATTTTTATTACTTTTTATTATACATGTTATTTTGCCTATGTTTTTATAGCTGCCTAAAGTCTAGGGAAAGGGGAAAACTGGTTAAGTGCTGCTTCTCTATAAAAAAAAATTGTAATTTAATCAATCACAGTGACTTATTTTCCTTCTAGCTTCTGGTTTTTTCTGTTTTTTTAACTGTAATGCAAAAAATCCACACTTTTAGACTGGAGGAGCAAGAAAATTGTGTCTGTGCTCTTCTTTACTTTGATCTTGATGGTAAAGCGAAAAGATGTTGTAGGCCTGCAGATATGTAAGGAAGCTTTGGCTCACTTGAAGAGGGGATCCTGGTGTTTTAGTACATGGATTCTACAAACCTTGTACAGATTTTCTTCAGTGTCATAAGGGAATCAGTTTGATACTGATAAGTTAATTGGTGCTCTTTCATGGCAAAGGATCTGATAAGTGAAGAAAGGTTCTTGTACACTAAAGCAAATCAAATAGGGAAAACTAAGGATGAAATAGAATATTCAGAGGCAACTTCAATAAAACCTGAATTGACATAACTGCAGTTCGTGTGTTTAGTGTCTTTGTCTGCCTATATATTGACATTATGGTCCCTTCATTGACTGCTGACCCACCTAGTCGACGCTCAGCAGAGGTACCTTGAGATCCCACAGCGGCCCAGCCAAATGATGCAGTGTAGACATCATTCTACACCCTACCTTGGTGTTGAAGTCTTACCTGTTTTCCTACCTCCTTGGCCTTGCTTCATTCTGATTCTTATGTATTTCTTAGATCTGGACTCCTGTTTCTGCCTTCTTCTCTGGCATTGCCTTATTTTCTTACACTTTCTTCTTGGTTCTAATTGTCTTATCTGCTTCAACCACTTCACTTGAACTGCTGGACTTCTGATCCTCTCAACCAGATAACTGACATGTGGCCTTACTCAGATCTTCAGCTTCCATGAGTCCTTGCCAAGCTCTGCCTGGCTTTGTACATCTGCTTCTCAGCTGGCCTCTACATACCCAGCCTCCTGGCTGAGTGGCCCTCTTTGGAGCCAGCCTTTCCAGCAATTTGGCCTTGGATTTCATTACTCTTCCAATCTTGTCTGTATACCCTGGCTCCCTAATACATTGCTTCCCATAGTCCCAGTGCTAGGAAGTATACTCTTACTTGTATCCTCTCGGACTGTCCACATGGTCAGGTTCACTGTGGAGATTTTAAAACATGGCCCCAAATCTCCTTGAATCTGGACTTTGTGGATGACCAATAGAATGTAGAAGTGACTCCTGGTTTCTGGACCCAAACCGTCCTATCTCTGGATGTGTACCCTTAGAACTCAGCCTTCAAATTAAGGGCAAACTGAAGCAGCTTGTGGAGTGGAACCGGGCCCTAGCTGAGACTTCAGCTGATAGCCAACACCGTCTTGCCAGCCATCTCGAGTCATTTTGAAAGTGGATCCTCCAGCCCCTAGTGGAACAGCCCCATCTGACACCGCATGGAACAGAGATGAGCTGATCTCACCGAGCCCTGCCCAAAGCACATATTTATGGGCAAAGCAAATGATTGTTACTTGTAGCCACTAAGTTTTCGGTTAGTTTGTTATGCAGCAACAGGGAACTTGATAGAGTCACCCAGCTTCACTCCTGGTCTCCTAGTGTAAACATCACTACTACCTGAACAATAGACATGTTTTATTGGGAAGATGATTTTTCTCTGTTCCCATGCTTCTGCACCAGTAGGTTGGTTCAGTAATAAATATGTGAGGCCTTTTGTTTGGCAGGGGGGGGGGGGAGTGGAATTTTAGGGTTAGTAAAATTTACCTTACCAAAAAGCTACACGGATTGGATTAAGTCAGCACATAAGAGACTTGGCACAAAGTAATTGATGAATGCTTATTTAACAAAAAATTTAAGGGAATATCTTGAGTCATTGGGAATGAACTTAAAAAGTTTTATTCTGACATAAACATTGCCAAAAAGATTTTTTTAAGATTATAAGAAATGCATGTTTGTTCGTCTACCACTTTACTAGTAACCAGTTTGGCAGTTTTATGACTCAGAGAGCTGACTTAGAATCCCAGCTGTATGCTCTTTTACTGTCTTCTGAACCCTTTCAGTCTGCTCTCTTAGCCACAATCTGACGAATTAAATATGGGTTTCCCTTATCCTGAAACTCATCCCCAACTTTATTTTCTGCTAGAGGAATCTGTCCTTCACCATGTAATTAACTAACCACACTGAGCTGCTCTTGTTTTCTGAGGGTGAAAATGGGAGCGTATGCCTCCCTTCCTACCTTTCCTCCCTCTGAGAAGAGACTGGATGAAACCCTTCCCTTTGGATTAAGTAGAAGGCAGAGACACAAACTGCATGTAGAACCTGCAAATGCACGTCAGTGACAGCAGTCTCGAAAGCATCTGGCCTTGTTTCCACACACGCGGAGGGGAGCGTCCAGCCACCATGGCTGCCCACGCTTGGTCTGCAATTTGCTGCACTTGCAGACGCTGCCGAGCGGTATCACGTCCCTGATCTCATGTGACTGTCACAACCGCCTAGAAAGGGGAGAGCAGGGAAACCGAAGGAGACACAGAGACGGCCCGTTAGCGAGCTAGGAACTCGCAGTGGTTAGACTGGAACCGAGGTCGTCCGCCTCTCGCATCGATCTCCCCGCAGCCGGGCCCTGGTCCTGATGCTGAGCGCCGGGAGCGCGCACACCTGCGCGTGGGCAGGACGAGCCAGCCAATGGGGAGCCCGCATCCAGGAGGCGGGACGGGGGAGCTGCGGCGGACCGAGCCTGCCCGAGAGGGCTGCAGCTAATGAGCGCCTAGTGCTGGAGAGAGACGGCTGCCCGACCAATGAGAGGCAGTGGCCAGCCGGGCTGAAGGCGGAACAGCCAGTGGGGCGCCGGGGCGGGGCGGCGAGCCCAGCGCCAACCCGCGAGCGCCGAGCCCCGGCGTCCATGGGGCGCCTCCTCTGCGCGGCCCCTACCCCCGCCTGCGGCGCGCGCCTGCCCTGACTTGGACTGAGGACTTCGGAGGAGGATCGCGCGGCCGGGACAGGTAACCGCCGCGTCCCCTTGCCGTCTGCCACGGGCTCCCGCGGGGCCAGGGCTGCAGATGCGTAATTGGCGGCGACTCGCGGGCTAGCCCCGTCTACCTGGCCTGGGTTTTGCAGCGGTCCTGGAGGGGAGTTTGTTGGCCGTCGGTGCCCACTGTAGGTTTTGAAATGCTAGGAGTCGCGGTCGCCGCGCCAGATGTTCGGGTGACAGCTCTGGAATCCTCCAGCCAGCTGTTCCTTTTAAATCCTGTCAAGAACTTAAGCTGCAGCAGACTGCTGGCGAGGAGCCTCCGGACTCCTAGGTCGGGTGGTCCTTGGGGTTTCGCTCCTTTTCGTGCCTTTTGTATTTTTAAATCGAGCTCTGGATGCTGTTGGACACGTAGACCTTGCAGAACCGCTGTGGCTTCTTCCCAGATTGTGCAGCAGCAGCCCACCGCCGGTGGCATGTCGTGGAGGGCACAAAACCCGGCGCGGGTGGGGGACTCCGCCAGCCAGCCTGTCCAGGGTCAGCTTTCAGACGCTGGGAGTGAAGTGCAGGGAGGTGGGTGGGGTCGAGGGACAGTGCTGATCTTCAGTCGCTGCAGTGGAAGAGAAGAAGTGTGCACGTTAAAGTGGGTCGTCGGCCTGCTTTTCGGGTGCTCCAGTTTACAGTGATCTGCAGGCCCCTGCCCCAGCCCCTACCCCACAGTCTGACAGTCTTTGTCAGCCCCCCGGGGCGTCCCACATCCTGCCACCTGGCCTCTCAGGAAAGCAGTGGTATTAAGTAAGGAAGGAGCTCAGCTCTTTTGAGACCGCTTTGTTTTCAGTTCTCCCTGCGTCTGATCTTCTTTCCTTGGAAAGCTGGTGTCTGGTCAAGGGTCTCAGGGCAGCATGTGGGGAGCACCGCTGTTCATTCAGCAGTCCTCTGGACCATAGCCTGAGTGTCCCCAATTATTGAGCAGCTGGTTACTGCTCCATTCTCATTGTCTAAGGTGCTTCTTTGATTTTTGCGATTCTTTGTACAATTTTCGAAATTTCGAAGGGATACCTTCCAAAACTGCGATGAGGCATTTGCTGATAAAGTCAGTGAGGTAAAAAATGTAAAGGAAATGTTAAGGGTGGTAGCAAATGTCTGTACCTATAAGGATGTTACAGTCATAGGTCAGGAACATTTATTCTTTAATCTTAACGAGAACTGGGAATTTGGAGGGTGGGTTTTGATTCTTTTAAGGAGACGGTTCTGCAATCTGTGCAAGGCTAAACCTATGAAGGAGATAACCCTGGGCTATCTGGTACTGACATTTGCATGTCTTGCCTAGGGCTTACAACTCTCACCATTTGAGGTCTTGGCTGAAAGATCTTTAAGTGAGAAGAGAATAATAGGAGACTCAGAAAAACAAAAAAGCAACACCTCGCTTGTTTCAAATCTTTTAACTTCCCGCCTCTTCCCGTCTGAGAGCAGCAAGCCCAGCGGCCACAGGGGTGATGTTGTGGGAATAGCGAGGGGCAGGTGTTGGGAGATCTGGCGTCTGGGCAAAGCTGTCTGCCCAGGATGGCGTGGAACCTGAGCAGGACCTGTACTTCTGTTGTCTTGGCTGCAGACGGGGAATAAGGTCATCTTGGATTTTTAGCCCCAGCGTCAAGCATGGCCCTCAACCTTCAGTAGGTTGGTCAGGCCGTGCTTTTTGAGTGATGGACAGATGAATGGGTGACATTGCGAGACGCTGGCCATGCCACAAAGTGGAAATGGGTGTATTGTTTTTATCCTCTCGTTGTGCTTGTGGTCCTGCTCTAATTTTGCCCAGTTCCACCTTCAGGGAATGTCTGACGGCAGAGGAAAAATTACCAACTGACCCAGAGAATTACTTCCCCCAGGCCTCACTGGCAAGCAGATTAGGAGTCCTGATCCAAAACTGTCACCAGAAAGCAACCTTGGGGTCATCTAGTCCAACCTCTCTACTTTGAGTGCATCGCAAGAATTTAAACCACTTCATCAATGGCTTTAAGAGACCCTAGACCCACCCAGCAGTGGCTTCCCTAAAAATCTAGGTCTCTTCTCACTCTTGCATAGGTTTAAGGTCTTCCTCAACTAAAAGCTTGCCCTGGCGAATAGTGTGATACAGGAGTGAGATTAACAATCGCCATGAAACTTCCTAGGGAATATCTTCGTGCTCTGAAGCCATCTTTGTCTTCATCTTGGAAACCAAGATGTATAGTGAGGCACCCTGCGAAGGCTTGTGAACGACAGCTGGCTTTCCACACATCTCCACACTGCAAGGATCCCGTGTTGCGTCAATTCACAACATCCCAGGCTGTTGGCATGGGTTGGAGATGCCGTGTTTTGTCCCCTGCTTCCTTCATTTGTCCTGAGTGTCCCCCTGGCCATCTTTCCTTGCCTGCTTCCAGACTTTTATTTCCTTCCACCAGTGGATTATGCTTGAATATCTCAGGGTGAAGACAGGGTGGGAAATGCATCTGATGTTGGTATCTGGAGGATGGTAATAAATGTGGTTGGCAGTTGAGTTGGAATAAT